CAATTAAATGTTGAGCGCCTTTTTGCGAATATTGTATCTGCAACATTTTCTTACCGTCTACTGATTCCTTCCTTTTGGAGAATTTAGCTAAAATAGTGGTAAAGAAAATCTGATGCTATTTCAGGTTCCTGTTCCCTCTTTGGTTGCTGGTGTAGGCAGTGGCGCAATTGTGGCCGCCTTCACTTTCTATGATCTACCTTACAAAACTCTTGCTGTGGCAGGTAAGCCGTTGACCTCTTTTGCATCGCTTTCAACTGTCGATCATAAGTGTAAGCTGACCATTAGTATAGGGTAAGTGCTAAATATCAGCACATCAATTGAAGAATTGTGTGGAGCAAGAACTACATAATTTAGATGTATTTTCTCTTACAGCAGGTCATAACATAGTACTGTAGTTTCTCGGTGATCTGTAACCATGGAATGATTATCTCTTCTTTGATTTGATTGCCGCTTAGTCCATTTGAAGTGGAGGTTCCAAGATTTCCTCCCCATCGCTCCCTATCGGTGCCACGGTCGGCCGGATGTGTTTGCCTACTTACAACTAGACAACAAGGCCGAGTAATTCCGCTGTAACGGAGGACTAGTAGTATCTTTAGCGGGAAAGGGAACATTCAAGTGTTAAATCTTCCACTCCACCTTGAGGCTTGTTAGCGCTTCTTTGTTGAGCGGAATGTTCATCATGTTCCTAGTTTTAATCCTTAAATTAAACCTCTTGTTTGTTGTTATAGTAGTGGTAACAATGACGTTGGAAAGAACTCTTTTTAACACCCGGCTATTCGACCTACTGAAACTGTTTCAGGTGTTTCTGGTGTTCTTGCCTACGTTATGGGCATGCGCTTCGCAAACTCACACAAAATTATGCCTGCCGGTATAATAGCAGCGGCAAGGTAACATCCATGGTGTCGATTATAGTGCTCAAAAAGACGGTTTATCTTTTTTTCAGTATTGGTGCTCTGCTTGTTCAGCTAGCACATATGCATAGAACGAACAGCCTACAGTGATTCCTATATCTCAGAATAGAAAGCTAAATAGCGAATTGTATATGAGTATTGTATATGAGTTTGTCAAATTATATCTATGTCAAATTAGATCTACTTTATACGTTGTAACAATTTTTTGTATTTGTAAAATAAAGCGGGCCATTTATTCACGCAATGTACGGGATAGCCACATGCAGTATAAATGCCTACAAATATGCGCCAGCAAACAAGTGAAAATCAAGCCATTCACAAATGATTCTACAGATTCTCTAATTCTATAGTACTCAAGTTGTGTGCAGCTGTTGTGTAGTGGGATTTTACATTATTGGTCGCTCTATGGAAACACCTATGAGTAAGAAAAGTAAAGATATTCAAATGCCGTGCAAATCCTGGTCAAGCATGGCCACGGCCTTGCGATCTCAGTTCCACAGATGAGTAACAGAATGACTCAATTCAACCCCAGAGAAGTCAAAGAGCCGAGGAAACGAAAAAAGAAAGGAATGAGAAAAATATTTAAATAATTAAATAATAGATTAACTAGAGAGAACTAACAGTGGGGAAGACGCTGTGGCCATTTTATTGAAATATCTAGGATGCGCAGAGATGACCAAATTTTCATAATATTGTTCCTAAATTATTAGGATGTTGTTAATAATGGCACACAACTTGGTGTCTTCCAGTACGAAGATCCTAGATGTCCATGAGGTTTCGGCAGAACTGTAGGGTCGGAAGCGAGAAGAAAGCAGCAAATGTTATCGCAGCATTGATTGCCCTCTCCAATCACTTCAACAAAGTCACGTTGCCCTGCAGCACACGGTCAAGCGTGCGTTGAGGAATCCTCGACAGGTCGGAGGGAGGGGGTCGTATTTGGCCCTCTAGGAGGAAGGGGTCGGCCTGGATCGATGTAGTAGGATCACACTCGTCGAAGGACTCCATAAGAAAAACATCAAGGAGTGATCGATGCTGTGCAAGCTTGGACCATAGGATACCAATAACAATCTTATTCCGCTACATAGTTTTGGTGGTGGTAAAAAGGGTCCGCATAGAATTTACCGCAACTGCCCGTGGTTTTAATCATGTTTTTTCATGAACATTCTTTCTCTCAATGACTCAACCTACATGAGGATGGAAGTACAGGTGCGTCAGATGCCCGTTTGTTGGCGCGCGCTCTTGAACAACAGCCTGCTGCTATGTAAAGGTCTGCGTTTAAAGGAAAAACCAAGGGATTCTTGAAAGGTCTGTGAAATGACACGTGTGAAATGTCTACTCAAATAGGTGCCTGCGAGACGCTGAATTCGGCAGAACGTGACTTTCTGAGAAGGTTTATGAAGCCAGGAATGCAACAGCATAGTGATCCCTAAATTCACGGCAAAAGGCCATGGGATCGATCCCGATGCGAGTCCAGACTTTTGCTTTTTTTAGCGATATCTGTCTTCCTAGCTGCACTCCTAAAAAGAGAAAAATCACTGAGTTGCACTGGAGTCGATCTCGCGACCTCTTGCCTGCGAGTTAAGGTCAGATTACCACTCGCGCTTTCCTGTTTCAATAAATTCTTCCGGGAGTCGTTGCACAAGATAACGCAAAAGGCATCTATTCAGTGGGTGGGCACGCCGACGAGCTTTTCACGCATGTCAGTGACTGCACTCGACCCCCGACTCACTAAGTTTGCTACTCTCCCCCTCACCAATTCCCCGCTTCTCCCGTGACGCATAGTCGGGGTCGCAGTCCACTTCCTCCCTTTCAAAAAACGAAGAAGAGCGTCGGTGCAGACCATACACCACAAGTGACGACGGCCTCCAAGTAAATCTGGTTAGTAGTGGTTCATAGTGATAGCTGATTTTTGGTAAATGATAGTTGTAATTAGTGACAACTGATAGAATACAACTGCAACAGGCTAATCATTTCATTGGCAGAAAACATTTACATTTTGTGGAGGCCGTCGTCACTTGTGGTGTATGGTCTGCACCCGACGCTCTTCTCGTTTTTGAAGGGAGGGTACATACATTTCTGCTCAAAAACTGCGTCGCGCCACCCCAAGTATACATCCCAATTTAAATGGCCGGACTGGGCATTCCTTGTGAGGGGATTGTGGTCGCTTCAACTGACGCTTGACGCTTCCTCTCCCCCCCCCCCCCCCAAATGGCTTACCTTGACTAGACTATCCCACAACGAGCACTTCTAATCTTGTTTCACCCAGAGGAACCGAACACATGTTTCACGCGAAAGAAACACAAGGACTATGTCATAGCAGACCAAAGACAACAGGTTAAACCAGAAAGGAAACGTGTTGTTGGCGTGAAAACACCAACGAAATCTTGTTGAACCTGTCCAGACAAGATAATGTTCGCGTCACCCTTAATCATTTCCACGAAAGATGATAGATTACAAAAAGTATACTCCCTTTCAAAAAACGAGAAGAGCGTCGGGTGCAGACCATACACCACAAGTGACGACGGCCTCCACAAAATGTAAATGTTTTCTGCCAATGAAATGATTAGCCTGCAGTTGTATTCTATCAGTTGTCACTAATTACAACTATCATTTACCAAAAATCAGCTATCACTATGAACCACTACTAACCAGATTTACTTGGAGGCCGTCGTCACTTGTGGTGTATGGTCTGCACCCGACGCTCTTCTCGTTTTTGAAAGGGAGGTATGCATAAGTTTCGCGACTTTATTCTTGAGATTTGAAACAAAACCTGCATGAAGACCAATATGCACCATTCCCGCTTGTCACGATACCCACGCTTGGCCAGTTTGTTGGTTTTCATTTCAGAAGGGCAGCCTGTAGATTGAAGTAGCAGTCGAAAGCTTCATTGACCTCATGTTCCATAGCGGTTTTTTGTCCCAGGAAGCGGGGGAGGTGCCCGAAAAACTGACCATGAAGGAGGCAGGAGTATCAGGTTCCTAAGGCCGTAATTGCCCAGCTCGGCCTGAGC